GTGTATCATCACCCCAGACACACTGGGGAACACACACGTCTCCTCAAACGTCCTCCTTAACTAAAACTGGTAAGAGTTAAAGTTTTATCGCTGATTGTAAAAGACTAGCAGGAACACTTAGGGAAGTGGGGGGGGGGGGGGGGTTCCGGGTGTGTGTGGGGGGGCCGGGTGTGGGGGGGTGGTCCGGGTGTGGGGGGGTGGTCCGGGTGTGGGGGAGTGGTCCGGGAGTGGGGGAGTGGTCCGGGAGTGGGGGAGTGGTCCGGGTGTGGGGGGGGGTGGTCCGGGTGTGGGGGGGGTGGTCCGGGTTGTGGGGGAGTGGTCCGGGAGTGGGGGTCCGTGTGTGGGGGGATGAGTGTGGGGTGGACAGGGTCTACCAGACTGACCAATACCAGCGCCACACATCCACCACCGAACGCAACATGGCTTCGTCAGTTGTTATAAACTCTGCCCTATAGGACTGCTCACAGTTTGGGTAACTATATACCAGCTATGCCGACAAAGGTCTTCCAATAGGCGTAGTATACGCGGACTTTTCCAAAGCCTTTGATAAGGTCCCACGTGAAGACTGACCAGCATGGTATTAATACCTGGAATAAATATTAGAATGCTGGAAAAGATAAAACATTGGTTAAAACTAAAACCAAAAGATCGTTCAAAATGGCAACAAATGTGACTGGAGAACTGTGGTGAGTGGGGTACCCTAAGTCCCATGTTGGGGCCAACCCTTAATGTTGTCATATACATCAATGACATAAATGAGAATACATTAACGTGATGTATCAATGAGAGGATCAGTAAGAGCCATGTGGAGGATTCGAACCTATGATCTGGGTACTCCCATACAAACGCCTTAGATCACCACAGGCCTCAGGAACACTAGAAGATTCAGTTAAATACCCAGGTTGCAATGCTTTCTCACCATGTCGTGGTGTAGTGGTCCAAGGCGTTTGCTTGGGAGTACCCAGAGCATAGGTTCGAATCCTCCTCATGGCTCCTACTGATTTTCTAATAGATGAGAATATTACAGGCCACATCATCAAGTTTGTAAATGAAAACAACATTAGTGATAAAGCAGGAAGTGTCAGTGATGTTGAGGCCCTCACAAAGAGCTCTCCGTGGACTCTACAAGTAGTCGCAAGACTAACATATACTTGTTAATATGGACACATACAAGACCTTGCACGAGGGGCATCACAACGTGCATCACAACTCCCACCTCAACAACATTACCTCGCAGCTCACTCATGAACACATCAACCTCACAGTCCCTCGCAGCTCACTCATGAACACATCAACCTCACAGTCCCTCGCAGCTCACTCATGAACACATCAACCTCACAGTCCCTCGCAGCTCACTCATGAACACATCAACCTCACAGTCCCTCGCAGCTCACTCATGAACACATCAACCTCACAGTCCCTCGCAGCTCACTCATGAACACATCAACCTCACAGTCCCTCGCAGCTCACTCATGAACACATCAACCTCACAGTCCCTCGCAGCTCACTCATGAACACATCAACCTCACAGTCCCTCGCAGCTCACTCATGAACACATCAACCTCACAGTCCCTCGCGGCTCACTCATGAACACATCAACCTCACAGACCCTCGCAGCTCACTCATGAACACATCAACCTCACAGACCCTCGCAGCTCACTCATGAACACATCAACCTCACAGACCCTCGCAGCTCACTCATGAACACATCAACCTCACAGACCCTCGCAGCTCACTCATGAACACATCAACCTCACAGTCCCTCGCAGCTCACTCATGAACACATCAACCTCACAGTCCCTCGCAGCTCACTCATGAACACATCAACCTCACAGTCCCTCGCAGCTCACTCATGAACACATCAACCTCACAGTCCCTCGCGGCTCACTCATGAACACATCAACCTCACAGTCCCTCGCGGCTCACTCATGAACACATCAACCTCACAGACCCTCGCAGCTCACTCATCAACACATCAACCTCACAGACCCTCGCAGCTCACTCATCAACACATCAACCTCACAGACCCTCGCAGCTCACTCATCAACACATCAACCTCACAGACCCTCGCAGCTCACTCATCAACACATCAACCTCACAGACCCTCGCAGCTCACTCATCAAACACATCAACCTCACAGACCCTCGCAGCTCACTCATCAACACATCAACCTCACAGACCCTCGCAGCTCACTCATCAACACATCAACCTCACAGACCCTCGCAGCTCACTCATCAACACATCAACCTCACAGACCCTCGCAGCTCACTCATCAACACATCAACCTCACAGACCCTCGCAGCTCACTCATCAACACATCAACCTCACAGACCCTCGCAGCTCACTCATCAACACATCAACCTCACAGACCCTCGCAGCTCACTCATCAACACATCAACCTCACAGACCCTCGCAGCTCACTCATGAACACATCAACCTCACAGACCCTCGCAGCTCACTCATCAACACATCAACCTCACAGACCCTCGCAGCTCACTCATGAACACATCAACCTCACAGTCCCTCGCAGCTCACTCATCAACACATCAAGCTCTCAGTCCCTCGCAGCTCACTCATGAACACATCAACCTCACAGTCCCTCGCAGCTCACTCATGAACACATCAAGCTCACAGTCCCTCGCAGCTCACTCATGAACACATCAACCTCACAGTCCCTCGCAGCTCACTCATGAACACATCAAGCTCTCAGTCCCTCGCAGCTCACTCATGAACACATCAACCTCACAGTCCCTCGCAGCTCACTCATGAACACATCAAGCTCACAGTCCCTCGCAGCTCACTCATGAACACATCAAGCTCACAGTCCCTCGCGGCTCACTCATGAACACATCAACCTCACAGTCCCTCGCAGCTCACTCATCAACACATCAACCTCACAGTCCCTCGCAGCTCACTCATCAACACATCAACCTCACAGTCCCTCGCAGCTCACTCATGAACACATCAACCTCACAGTCCCTCGCAGCTCACTCATGAACACATCAACCTCACAGTCCCTCGCGGCTCACTCATGAACACATCAACCTCACAGTCCCTCGCAGCTCACTCATGAACACATCAACCTCACAGTCCCTCGCAGCTCACTCATGAACACATCAACCTCACAGTCCCTCGCAGCTCACTCATGAACACATCAACCTCACAGTCACACTCCACAAACCACTGAAAGTTGAACAATAAACAGAAGTTGCAGTAAAAAAAAAAGAGGAATAGTCAAACGAACATTTGACTTCAAGGCAAACAAGGCAATTACAGTCGGGTTCGTTCTTGACTCACAATCTAGAATTCCGGGTTCGAATCCCGGGCGAGACAAAAATATTTGGCCGCATTTTATATCACTTAATTTCCTCTTCTCCTAGCAGTAAGTAGGTATTAAGTCAGTTTTTTTGTGGGGTTGAGTTCTAGGGAAGGTCAGTAATTCGACCTTAGGGAGAACCTCGATATAAACCTAACATGTATATATACAATGGCTACCTGTCCCCCTGACACAATGAGTTATTATTTACCTCTATAAATGTGTTGTGCGCCCCCAAGCCTGGACTACTGTATCCCAGCACGGAGACCTCGCCTGCAGGAGGACATGCAGCTGCTTTGAAAAAAGTTGGAGACGAGGCGACAAAACTTCTCGCGGACTAAGTGAACCCTCGCACCAGGCAACCCGTTCTCGCACTTTAAGTCAATATTGACTTATTAAATAAATGCATATGTGACATACTAATTTAGTGAATATTTTAGTTTACCTTGAAAAGCTTCATAGAAAACACCGACCTTACCTAACCTTCTTAGTATGTTAAGATAACCATCTTATTGCTTCGTAATTACGAGTATTACTTAACCAATTATAGGTACAGGTTAAGTAATAATTGTAATTACTTAGCAATAAGATGCTTATACTAAGAAGGTTAGGTAAGGTCGGTGTTTTCTATGAAGCTTTTCAAGGTAAACTAAAAATATTCACAATAAATTAGTATGTCACATATGCACGTATTTAATAAGTCAATATTGACTTAAAGTGCGAGAACGGGTTGCACCAGCACGGTTGAGGGCCACCCGGCTGACAACACTACTAGCCACACACGACGGTTGAGAGCCACCCGGCTGACAACACTACTAGCCACACACGACGGTTGAGAGCCACCCGGCTGACAACACTACTAGCCACACACGACGGTTGAGAGCCACCCGGCTGACAACACTACTAGCCACACACGACGGTTGAGAGCCACCCGGCTGACAACACTACTAGCTACACACGACGGTTGAGAGCCACCCGGCTGACAACACTACTAGCCACACACGACGGTTGAGAGCCACCCGGCTGACAACACTACTAGCCACACACGACGGTTGAGAGCCACCCGGCTGACAACACTACTAGCTACACACGACGGTTGAGAGCCACCCGGCTGACAACACTACTAGCCACACACGACGGTTGAGAGCCACCCGGCTGACAACACTACTAGCCACACACGACGGTTGAGAGCCACCCGGCTGACAACACTACTAGCTACACACGACGGTTGAGAGCCACCCGGCTGACAACACTACTAGCCACACACGACGGTTGAGAGCCACCCGGCTGACAACACTACTAGCCACACACGACGGTTGAGAGCCACCCGGCTGACAACACTACTAGCCACACACGACAGGACGGTTGAGCGCCACCCGGCTGACAACACTACTAGCCACACACGACAGGACGGATCTTATAGAAACTTTTAAACTAGTGAACAATTTGGAGGATATTGATCCAGACCACTTCTTCAAAAGGTCAGATGTAACACAGATAAGGAACAACGGTTTCAAGAAGATAGAAGACGCTATTTCACCCTAGAGGGTTATAAACCTTTGGAACCGCCTACCCGCCGAAGCCGTAAATGGGAAAAAAACACTGCTGCAATTTAAAATCAGGACGAATTGGGGGTTCTTTGACAAGCCGCCAGCGTTCTGCCCTCGTCGAGAACACTAGAGAGATGGCGACCCTCAGGTACAATCAGGTAAATATCCAACTAGAGAACACGCAAAAGACCAAAGCTAACCGCAACATGAGGACCTCTCCACAACAACCAGCCCACAATATTCAATGCAAAACTATACACGATGTAGCATTGCAGAACAACAAATTATTTACACAGCTCACAATGTTGTGCAAGAGATCATCATCTGTGCAATAGCAAACATGAAGCTTTAAGCCTCAGTAAAATTGCAATTTTGAATATTAAATAGAATCCATGTAACGCTTATGTAACAGTGCATGCTGCAAGATATGTGGGGAGGGGGGGAGGGTGTTGGTCCCATGTGGGAGGTGCTGGGGCCTGCCCAGCACCCGGCGCTCCTAGCTGGGGCCTGCCCAGCACCCGGCGCTCCTAGCTGGGGCCTGCCCAGCACCCGGCGCTCCTAGCTGGAGCCTGCCCAGCACCCGGCGCTCCTAGCTGGGGCCTGCCCAGCACCCGGCGCTCCTAGCTGGGGCCGGCCAGCACCCGGCGCTCCTAGCTGGGGCCTGCCCAGCACCCGGCGCTCCTAGCTGGGCCTGCCCAGCACCCGGCGCTCCTAGCTGGGCCTGCCCAGCAACCGGCGCTCCTAGCTGGGGCCTGCCCAGCACCCGGCGCTCCTAGCTGGGGCCTGCCCAGCACCCGGCGCTCCTAGCTGGGGCCTGCCCAGCACCCGGCGTTCCTTGCTGGGACCTCTCAGCACCCTTCCAAGACCTCCCAGCACCTTCCAAGACCTCCCAGCACCTTCGAAGACCTCCCAGCACCTTCCAAGACCTCCCAGCACCTTCCAAGACCTCCCAGCACCTTCCAAGACCTCCCAGCACCTTCCAAGACCTCCCAGCACCTTCCAAGACCTCCCAGCACCTTCCAAGACCTCCAGCACCTTCCAAGACCTCCAGCACCTTCCAAGACCTCCCAGCACCTTCCAAGACCTCCCAGCACCTTCCAAGACCTCCAGCACCTTCCAAGACCTCCCAGCACCTTCCAAGACCTCCCAGCACCTTCCAAGACCTCCCAGCACCTTCCAAGACCTCCCAGCACCTTCCAAGACCTCCCAGCACCTTCCAAGACCTCCCAGCACCTTCCAAGACCTCCCAGCACCTTCCAAGACCTCCCAGCCTCTCCTCACCGGGTATAAGACCTCCCAGGTTTTATACCTGGTGTTCGTACTCAGCTTTGTCAAGTCGCTAATGTTCAGCACAATATTCTCATGTTTTAAGACTTTCTTCCTCAACTTTTCTGAGTTACCGAGGAAGCTCTAGCGTTTACTAATGATGGGGGGGGGGGGGGAGGGAGGGGGCGATGCTCCCTCTCTCTCCGGCGTTCAATCCCCATGTCCAAGTGGTGGGGCACCATTCCCTCCCCCCGTCCCATCCCCTCTCTCTGTGTCTCTCTTCATCTCTTTCTATGTAATTGTCTCAATCTCTCTCTCTCTCTTCTTTTCATCATTTTTTTTTTCAAATAAAATAGTTGGCCGTTTGGTTTGTGTGTAGCAAGTTGGGTGTTGGGCATGACGGGGCGGGGGCAGGAGAGGAGGAACACCTCAACTCTCGTGTTTATGGTTGTACGGCTGTAGTGTGAATATCAGAAAATTTGTGAATTTTAAAGAAATCTGTAAATAATCTTCATTATTAAAAACTGCTTTGAATTATTAAAATAAATAGTTACCGGGCAACATTTGCTTTATGTCAGTGTCACGGAACATGTGACATTAGCCAGGTGGGCCACGCGGCACAGCCAGGTGGGCCACGCGGCACAGCCAGGTGGGACACGCGACACAGCCAGGTGGGACACGCGACACAGCCAGGTGGGACAAGCCAGGTGGGCCACGCGGCACAAGCCAGGTGGGCCACGCGGCACAGCCAAGTGGGCCACGCGGCACAAGCCAGGTGGGCCACGCGGCACAAGCCAGGTGGGCCACGCGGCACAAGCCAGGTGGGCCACGCGGCACAAGCCAGGTGGGCCACGCGGCACAAGCCAGGTGGGCCACGCGGCACAGCCAGGTGGCCCACGCGGCACAGCCAGGTGGCCCACGCGGCACAGCCAGGTGGCCCACGCGGGCCCACGCGGCACAGCCAGGTGGGCCACGCGGCACAGCCAGGTGGGCCACGCGGCACAGCCAGGTGGGCCACGCGGCACAGCCAGGTGGGCCACGCGGCACAGCCAGGTGGGCCACGCGGCACAGCCAGGTGGGCCACGCGGCACAGCCAGGTGGGCCACGCGGCACAGCCAGGTGGGCCACGCGGCACAGCCAGGTGGGCCACGCGGCACAGCAGGGGGCCCACGCGGCACAGCCAGGTGGGCCACGCGGCACAGCCAGGTGGGCCACGCGGCACAGCCAGGTGGGCCACGCGGCACAGCCAGGTGGGCCACGCGGCACAGCCAGGTGGGCCACGCGGCACAGCCAGGTGGGCCACGCGGCACAGCCAGGTGGGCCACGCGGCACAGCCAGGTGGGCCACGCGGCACAGCCAGGTGGGCCACGCGGCACAGCAGGGGCCACGCGGCACAGCCAGGTGGGCCACGCGGCACAGCCAGGTGGGCCACGCGGCACAGCCAGGTGGGCCACGCGGCACAGCCAGGTGGGCACGCGGCACAGCCAGGTGGGCCACGCGGCACAGCCAGGTGGGCCACGCGGCACAGCCAGGTGGGCCACGCGGCACAGCCAGGTGGGCCACGCGGCACAGCCAGGTGGGACACGCGGCACAGCCAGGTGGGGGACACGCGGCACAGCCAGGTGGGACACGCGGCACGCCAGGTGGGACACGCGGCACAGCCAGGTGGGACACGCGGCACAGCCAGGTGGGACACGCGGCACAGCCACGCGGCACAGCCAGGTGGGACACGCGGCACAGCCAGGTGGGACACGCGGCACAGCCAGGTGGGACACGCGGCACAGCCAGGTGGGACACGCGGCACAGCCAGGTGGGACAAGCCAGGTGGGACACGCGACACAGCCAGGTGGGCCAAGCGACACAGCCAGGTGGGACACGCGACACAGCCAGGTGGGCCACGCGGCAGACAGGTGGGACAAGCCAGGAGGGACACGCGACACAGCCAGGTGGGACACGCGACACAGTAAGGTTTGGACACGCGACACAGCCAGGTTTTGACACGCGACACAGCCAGGTTTGGACACGCGACACAGCCAGGTTTGGACACGCGACACAGCCAGGTTTGGACACGCGACACAGCCAGGTTTGGACACGCGACACAGCCAGGTTTGGACACGCGACACAGCCAGGTTTGGACACGCGACACAGCCAGGTTTGGACACGCGACACAGCCAGGTTTGGACACGCGACACAGCCAGGTTTGGACACGCGACACAGCCAGGTTTGGACACGCGACACAGCCAGGTTTGGACACGCGACACAGCCAGGTGGGACACGCGACACAGCCAGGTGGGACACGCGACACAGCCAGGTGGGCCAAGCGACACAGCCAGGTGGGACACGCGACACAGCCAGGTGGGACACGCAACACAGCCAGGTGGGACAAGACAGGTGGGCCAAGCGACACACCCAGGTGGGCCAAGCGACACAGCCAGGTGGGACACGCGACACAGCCAGGTGGGACACGCGGCACAGCCAGGTGGGACAAGCCAGGTGGGACACGCGACACAGCCAGGTGGGCCAAGCGACACAGCCAGGTGGGACACGCGACACAGCCAGGTGGGACACGCGACACAGCCAGGTGGGACACGCGACACAGCCAGGTGGGCCAAGCGACACAGCCAGGTGGGACAAGCGACACAGCCAGGTGGGACACGCGACACAGCCAGGTGGGACACGCGACACAGCCAGGTGGGACACGCGACACAGCCAGGTGGGACAAGACAGGTGGGCCAAGCGACACACCCAGGTGGGCCAAGCGACACAGCCAGGTGGGACACGCGACACAGCCAGGTGGGACACGCGGCACAGCCAGGTGGGACAAGCCAGGTGGGCCACGCGACACAGCCAGGTGGGCCACGCGACACAGCCAGGTGGGACACGCGACACAGCCAGGTGGGACACGCGACACAGCCAGGTGGGACACGCGACACAGCCAGGTGGGACACGCGACACAGCCAGGTGGGACAAGCCAGGTGGGACACGCGACACAGCCAGGTGGGCCAAGCGACACAGCCAGGTGGGACACGCGACACAGCCAGGTGGGACACGCGACACAGCCAGGTGGGACACGCGACACAGCCAGGTGGGACACGCGACACAGCCAGGTGGGACAAGCCAGGTGGGACAAGCGATACAGCCAGGTGGAACAAGCGACACAGCCAGGTGGAACAAGCGACACAGCCAGGTGGAACAAGCCAGGTTGAACAAGCCAGGTTGAACAAGCCAGGAGGAACAAGCCAGGAGGAACAAGCCAGGAGGAACAAGCCAGGAGGAACAAGCCAGGAGGAACAAGCCAGGAGGAACAAGCCAGGAGGAACAAGCCAGGAGGAACAAGCCAGGAGGAACAAGCCAGGAGGAACAAGCCAGGTTGAACAAGCCAGGAGGAACAAGCCAGGAGGAACAAGCCAGGAGGAACAAGCCAGGAGGAACAAGCCAGGAGGAACAAGCCAGGAGGAACAAGCCAGGAGGAACAAGCCAGGAGGAACAAGCCAGGTGGGGGGGAGCAACCCGTCAGAAGGGAGAGTGAGCGCCGCGGGTGACAGAAGGAATACATCAATAGGCAAATGTTCTTCATGAATATCCGGGCACAATGTGAAGCCCAGTTAAGCTAAATGGATTATTAAGCTGCTGCTTCACCAGCGGTGGACACGGGGGCGCTCGCCGGGCCCCGGGGGCGCTCGCCGGGCCCCGGGGGCGCTCGCCGGGCCCCGGGGGCGCTCGCCGGGCCCCGGGGGCGCTCGCCGGGCCCCGGGGGCGCTCGCCGGGCCCCGGGGGCGCTCGCCGGGCCCCGGGGGCGCTCGCCGGGGCCCGGGGGCGCTCGCCGGGCCCCGGGGGCGCTCGCCGGGCCCGGGGGCGCTCGCCGGGCCCCGGGGGCGCTCGCCGGGGCCCCGGGGGCGCTCGCCGGGCCACGGGGGCGCTCGCCGGGCCACGGGGGGCGCTCGCCGGGCCACGGGGGCGCTCGCCGGGCCCCGGGGGCGCTCGCCGGGCCACGGGGGCGCTCGCCGGGCCCCGGGGGCGCTCGCCGGGCCCCGGGGGCGCTCGCCGGGCCCCGGGGGCGCTCGCCGGGCCCCGGGGGCGCTCGCCGGGCCACGGGGGCGCTCGCCGGGCCACGGGGGCGCTCGCCGGGGTCCTCCCGCTATCCTTTGCGTCAGCCAGAAAAATGATCGGATGGATTACGAGAACTTTCAAATCCAGGGATCCCATCACAATGGTTGTACTCTTCAAGTCACTTGTTTTGTCCTGTCTTGAGTACTGCTCAGTACTCATTTCCCCCTTCAGAGCAGGAGAGATTGCTGAAATAGAGGGAATACAGAGAACATATACGGCACGCATAGACGTGATAAAGCACCTAAATTATTGGGATCGTCTCAAAGCTCTCAAAATGTACTCGCTAGAAAAGAGACGAGAGATATACCAAATAATATACACATGGAAAATACTGGAGGGCCACGTCCCAAATCTACACAGTAAAATAACAACATACTGGAGTGAACGATATGGAAGAAAAATGCAGAATAGAACCAGCGAGGAGCAGAGGTGCCATAGGCACAATCAGAGAGCACTGTATAAACATCAGAGGTCCGCGGATGTTCAACGTCCTCCCAGCGACTATAAGAAATATTGCCAGAACAACCGTGGACATCAAGAGAAAACTGGACTGTGTTCTAAAGAGAAGTTCCGGACCAGATGGGCTGTTGTGGGTATGTGGGCCTGCGGGCCGCTCCAAGCAACAGCCTGGTGGACTCTCACACTCTCACAAGTCAAGCCTGGCCTCGGGCCGGGCTTGGGGAGTAGAAGAACTCCCAGAACCCCATCAACCAGGTATCCCAGGGGGGCCCCCTCCCACTATCCCAGGGGGGCCCCCTCCCACTATCCCAGGGGGGCCCCCTCCCACTATCCCATGGGGTCCCCCCGCTATCCCAGGGGGGGTCCTCCCGCTATCCCAGGGGGTCCCCCCGCTATCCCAGGGGGGTCCCCCCGCTATCCCAGGGGGGGTCCCCCCGCTATCCCAGAGGGGGTCCCCCCGCTATCCCAGAGGGGGTCCCCCCGCTATCCCAGGGGGGGTCCCCACACTATCCCAGGGGGGTCCCCCCCGCTATCCCAGGGGGGTCCCCCCCGCTATCCCAGGGGGGTCCCCCGCGCTATCCCAGGGGGGTCCCCCCCGCTATCCCAGGGGGGTCCCCCCCGCTATCCCAGGGGGGTCCCCCCGCTATCCCAGGGGGGTCCCCCCGCTATCCCAGGGGGGTCCTCCCGCTATCCCAGGGGGGTCCTGTACACCGGTACAGCTTGTGGGGCTCCACACACCGGTACAGCTTGTGGGGCTCCACACACCGGTACAGCTTGTGGGGCTCCACACACCGGTACAGCTTGTGGGGCTCCACACACCGTACAGCTTGTGGGGCTCCACACACCGGTACAGCTTGTGGGGCTCCACACACCGGTACAGCTTGTGGGGCTCCACACACCGGTACAGCTTGTGGGGCTCCACACACCGGTACAGCTTGTGGGGCTCCACACACCGGTACAGCTTGTGGGGCTCCACACACCGGTACAGCTTGTGGGGCTCCACACACCGGTACAGCTTGTGGGGCTCCACACACCGGTACAGCTTGTGGGGCTCCACACACCGGTACAGCTTGTGGGGCTCCACACACCGGTACAGCTTGTGGGGCTCCACACACCGGTACAGCTTGTGGGGCTCCACACACCGGTACAGCTTGTGGGGCTCCACACACCGGTACAGCTTGTGGGGCTCCACACACCGGTACAGCTTGTGGGGCTCCACACACCGGTACAGCTTGTGGGGCTCCACACACCGGTACAGCTTGTGGGGCTCCACACACCGGTACAGCTTGTGGGGCTCCACACACCGGTACAGCTTGTGGGGCTCCACACACCGGTACAGCTTGTGGGGCTCCACACACCGGTACAGCTTGTGGGGCTCCACACACCGGTACAGCTTGTGGGGCTCCACACACCGGTACACCTTGTGGGGCTCCACACACCGGTACAGCTTTTGGGGCTCCACACACCGGTACAGCTTGTGGGGCTCCACACAACGGTACAGCTTGTGGGGCTCCACAACCCGGTACAGCTTGTGGGGCTCCACACACCGGTACAGCTTGTGGGGCTCCACACACCGGTACAGCTTGTGGGGCTCCACACACCGGTACAGCTTGTGGGGCTCCACACACCGGTACAGCTTGTGGGGCTCCACACACCGGTACAGCTTGTGGGGCTCCACACACCGGTACAGCTTGTGGGGCTCCACACACCGGTACAGCTTGTGGGGCTCCACACACCGGTACAGCTTGTGGGGCTCCACACACCGGTACAACTTGTGGGGCTCCACACACCGGTACAGGTGTGGTGACCCAAAGTGGCAGTTCTACTGTATTGCACAACCAAAAACAATATTTTGACGAATATAAATTTATGTAAATGAGTAATATAATTGTGAGTATAACCAGACCCAAGACAGGTTGGGTCGGGTTATACCCCCCCCCCCCCCCGACGATTATTGGAACTGGCCGCCTGCTACACAGATAATTATTTTCAAAACAACGTTCTTTAGCCTAAGGGTAGTGAGTAAATGGAATGACCAAAAGGAGCAGGTTGTAGAGGCTAACTACATTCAGAACTTTAAAAGCAGATATAATGGGGAAATAGGCGAGGAGTCATTGCATTAGATAACCAACGGCCAGAAAAGTGGGGTACAACAGATAGAGGTCGATCCTGCAGGCAGAAATAGGTGAGTACACACACACTCACATCCGGGACAGCAGATGACACTACTACAAACACATTCATTTATCATACGCTAAATTCAGCCTCCTGTTATGGATGAGCAGCAGGGAGTACACACACACACACACACACACACACGCGCGCACACACACACACACACAGTTGAGAGGCGGGCCGAAAGAGAAAAGCTCAACCCCCGCAAAAACACAACTAGTAAACACAACTAGTAAACACACACACACACTGGAAAAAGTCCAAAGGTATGCTACTAGACTAATTCCAGAACTAAGAGGCATGAGTTAAGAGGAGAGGCTGCGGGAATTGCACCTTACGACACTGGAAGACAGAAGAGAAGGGGGGACATGATCACAACCCACAAAATCCTCAGGGGAATCGACCGGGTAAACAAGGATAAACTATTCAACTCTGACGGGACGCGAACAAGGGGACACAGATGGAAACTGAGTACCCACATGAGCCACAGAGACGTTATAAGGAACTTTTCAGTGTCAGAGTAGTTAACAGATGGAATGCATTAGGCAGTGATGTGGTGGAGGCTGACTCCATACAGTTTTAAATGTAGATATGAGAGAGCCCAGTAGACTTAGGAATCTGTACACCAGTTGATTGACAGTTGTGAGGCGGGACCAAAGAGCCAAAGCTCAACCCCCGCAAGCACAAACAGGTGAGTACAAACAGGCGAGTACACACACACACACACACACACACACACACACACTACCCGTTGATTGACAGTTGAGATGCAGGACCGAAGAGCCAGAGCTCAGTCCCCACAAGCACAAATAGGCGAGTACACGCACAGTTATGGAAATGGAGTCAGGTGACAGGCGACCATAGGGACAGTACACAATGAAGGGGAACAGCCTACCTGTGACGACGCGAGAAAGAGACCTGGGAGTGGACGTAACACCTAATCTAACTCCCGAGGCACATGTAAATAGGATAACGACAGCAGCGTACTCTACACTGGCAAAAGTTAGAACATCATTCAGAAACCTAAGTGAGGAGGCTTTTAAGGCGCTTTACACTGCCTACGTGAGATCAGTCTTAGAATATGCCACGCCATCGTGGAGTCCCCACCTGAAGAAACGCATAAGGAAACTGCAAAAAGGTTCAGAGGTTTACGACGAGGCTCGTCCCAGAGTTACGAGGGATGGGATATAAAGAGCGCCTCAAGGAACTGAACCTTACGACACTAGAAAAAAGAAAGGTGATATGATATGAAAGAGGGGATATGAAAGTAACATATAAAATACTCAGGGGGGGGATTGACAGTGGAAATAGACGAAATATTCACAGGGAATAGTAACAGAATGAGAGGACATGAGTGGAAGCTGGAAACTCAGATGAGTCACAGAGATGTTAGGAACTTTTCTTTTAGCGTGAGAGTAGTGAAAAAAATGGAATGCACTTAAGGAGCAGGTTGTGGAAACAAACTCTATTCATATA